CTTTCTTATAATGTGCATTTTATATCCCCCTTTTCATTTCTAATTTGCATGATTTTCTTTTCCTCTTTGGCTATTTTATTGCTTTTTCAGAGCATAACATTATGAATGTAATGGCCAATTTTCCTGTTAAGTTCAGTGATTTCTGCATTAATATTTTTCTTTCCTCCGGGTTTTCCTAGCATATTTTGTTATTTTTTATTTTAATTAGAGTCAAGTGTTTAATTCACATTTTTTGATTCTTTTTTATTAAATAACTAAAGCATTCAAGGTTCTAATTTCCTTTTCTCTAGGCTAGCCAGAAGTTTTAATTTGTGATGCTGCATTATTATTCATCTCTAAATAGAAGACAAATGGGGCCTCCCTGGTGGCGCAGGGGGTTAAGCACGGCAATATGAAGCAATCCACAGCCTCTGCAGCATGAGTTCAATTTCCAGCCGGCCAGGGAGAAACCTACATGGCTCAGCAGACCTCTCCTGCCTTGCCTGCTACTCCCCTCAGCAGTGTACTTCAGTCAATCTGCCTGTTCTGTTCCTCACTCTGTCTCTGGTGAATCCTCTCACCCCGGGCACCTCTGGCCTGTACCCCAGCTCTTGTATGCATAAATAAATAAATATTAAAAAAAATAAACAGAAGACAAATGTATACAGTTTTTTTTTTGTTTTGTTTTTATATAGAGGCATGTTTTATTTATTTATTTATTTGTTTGTTTTGTTTATACATGCACTGGGTACAGTCAGAAGCGCGGGAGGGTGAGAGAATTCACCAGAGCCAGAGCAGGGAGCAGAGCAGGCAGAAGGACCGAAGTACACTGCTGAGGGGAGCAGCGGGCGGCAGGAGAGGTCTGTGCGCCATGTGGGACCCTCCTCTGGTGGCCGGGGAGCAGCCGGGGATCGAACCGGCGCTGCAGAGGCTGCGGGCAGCTTCGCAACCCAGTGCTCAACCGCTGCGCCACCGGGGAGGCCCTATACAGTTTTTTTAATATGCTTTTTTTCCCTGACCTAAGAAGCAACCTCCTATGATTAACTTGTTAAATTTAAAATTGTATAATCTTTAAAATCATTATTCAGAATTTATGTACATTTACTGCTCTGTTTTCTGTCCCTCCCTTCCCTCTCCCTAAGAAAAGCTTTTTCACTTCCTAGCTGAATGGTTTTGGACACATCTATACACTTACTACTATCCTATCAAATGTCAGGTACTATTCTGGGAGCTGAGAGCACAAGCGTAAACAAAGTGCTGTTCTCAAGGAGTATAGTTTACATAAACTAGGAAAAAACAAACAGGACAATTTTAACTAATGATAATACTATTCAGACAGTAAAGAAGAAAGATGTTGTGGAGTTTGGTGGAGTTGTTTTAGATGGAATTGTCAGGGAATCAGGGAAACTTCTGCTAACTGCCAGATCCCCTGGACTCACACTGGTCCTTAGCCTAGAAATTCTCTTCTGAGTCATTTGGTACAATCCACCTCCGCTTTATATTGCTGCCTCCTAGGGCTTCTGTGTAAGATAGTGGTTTCACTATCCTCTGATCTCCTCTCCACTCTCTGATCTCCCCCTTTCAGACTTCATTGGTGGCACATCTTCCCTGACCACCCAACACCTTGCTGACACTCGACCATCTGTCCAGGCAGCTGGAAGAGAAGCTCAAATTTGACTCCCATTGTTGAAAGCACTTGTCCATAACATGCTCATATGAAGACCTTTGGTACTGGGTGACACGAGGATGGCAGCACAGGTCAAAGATACAATGTCTAAGTCAAAGAGTTATTGTCCAGTTGGCTCCCTAACATCTGATTCAACACCACGGACACTGTTTCAAGAAAGGGCTAAGCAAAAGGAAGAAGGAAGTGCTAAACTGACTGAAAAGCACTCAACACAGTGCTAGAAAACAAACACAATCCACACCCTTAGAGTTTACATGATAGTTCAGACTTACATAATAAGAAAACACAGAAAAATGGAAAACAACCTGCACACCTTCACACACAAAATTGAGGGAAACCGGCCATAAATGCCATAGAAGGAAGCTCTTGGAGTGAAGTTATCAGTGAGAGAACACCACAAGGGGACGAAGAACTTGAAGCAAGCCCTAAATGACATAAGATCCCATGGTTATGCAGTGACAGAATGGATTCTGGATCTAACAAGCACAATGCATGACATTGGGCACATGTTATCAACATAAGGCCCTGTTTCTAACCCAAGTAGGCTAAGGTTAACCAAAATGCAACCCTGAATTAAGGAATAAGGACTTTTTTTTTTAAGTCTTTCTTCATTCTTTTTCCTTTTATTTTTTTTAGTAATAAATTTTATTTTTATATTCCCCATACAATTGCAACCCCCCCATTCTGACCCCAATCCCTCCCCTCCCGCCCCCCACCCCCCAAAAGAGTGTCTCTGGTTCATAGTTTTTTGTTGATTTTGATTTTCACTTTCTTATAGCTATTCATTTTCCTGGTCCCTTATTTAAGTTTTCTAGATTCCTGCTATGAGTGAGACCATCCGGTATTTTTCTTTTTCTTTCTGGCTTATTTCGCTGAGCATGATCCCTTCCAGCGCCATCCATGTTGCTGCCAATTGCATGTGTTTATCTTTTTTGAATGCTGAGTAATATTCCATGGTATATATGTACCACATCTTCTTGATCCAGTCATCTGTTTTTGGGCATTTGGGCTGTTTCCAAAGCTTAGCTATTGTAAACAGTGCTGCTATAAACATAGGGGTGCAGGTGTTCTTTGGAATTGATGTTTCTGTGTCCTTTGGGTAAATACCTAGGAGTGGAATTGCTGGATCATATGGAAGCTCTATGTTTATTTATTTATTTATTTATTTTTTAAAGATTTATTTATTTATTTATTTATTTATACAAGCACTGGGTACAGTCAGAAGCGTGGGAGGGTGAGAGAATTCACCAGAGCCAGAGCGGGGAGCAGAGCAGGCAGAAGGACCGAAGTACACCGCTGAGGGGAGCAGCGGGTGGCAGGAAGAGGTCTGCGCGCCATGTGGGACCCCCCTCCGGTGGCCGGGGAGCAGCCGGGGATCAAACCGGCGCTGCAGAGGCTGAGGGCAGCCTCGCAACCCAGCGATCAACCGCTGCGCCACCGGGGAGGCCCGAAGCTCTATGTTTAGTGGGTCCAGAAATCTCCACACAGCTCTCCATAGTGGTTGGACCAGTTTGCACTCCCACCAACAGTGCAGAAGAGTGAATGAGGACTTTCTTAAGAAACCTTCCTCAAGAGGACTGTGAAGAGGGTCAAAGTTCTTTTCTTCTTTTTTCATATCAAGAAAAAGAACAACAAAACTGGGGTAGAGACAAAGGCTCAATGAGATGGTGCGATCTCTTTAGATGCAATCTCTTTAGGTTCAATCTCTAGTTTGTTGCTCTGCACTAGGATTTAGGAAAAAGAATAGAAATTTGAGATGGTTCTTCTGCTTCTTGAGGTTCTCAGTTTCTGGCTCAGAACATCAAGGCAGACTAGAAAAGATATTTGGAGTTGGGGCCCAGCTAATTATAAGAATATGAACCTGCCTGAAAGTTCTTTAGCTAGAAGCTGGCTAGGGTAGAGGTCTGTATGCTGACAAAATGGCTCCTCAGCTCTAACAGTTCAAGAGATACAGCAAACAAATACCTCAAGGTTTAGGCATCTTATAATTCTCATAGTTGTATAAGGATTCACTCTGCCCTCATTCGAGGTAAGCATATTAGAATGACCACATTTAAAGAAATTTGAGAATTTAAGTGACATGCTGGTGAGTGAACAGCTAGGCGAAGGAGCAAAGTCTTAAATGTTCAACCTGGCATTTTTTCTTGGGAGGATGATGTTCCAATTGTCCTAATCCAAACAGGTCTTCTCAGTGCCTCAAGAAAAGCTCCTCACAAAAACAAATGAACCTTTGCTTAAGAAGTTCCACTCTGAGCTAATGGGCTTGAAAGATCCCTGGACAAACTGTTCTCCAAACCCAACACGGAGATATGGGGGTTGGGGGTGTGTGTCAGGACGCACAATACCAACAATTGACAAACTGTTTTCTGGGGAACAATGTCTAGTGGTCTGGTCCTAAAACTGTCCTCAAAATCTATGTGAAATAGACCAGGAGTCACTGTACCTTCTTGATTAGATTTTTACCCTCAACTGTCTCCTTCCTCTTAATCTCCACATGAAAATTTTCTCCTTCCACCAGGGTAACTGAAACCCAGAAGTGATAAACAGTCAAAGGGGATATGCATTGTGATTTTAAATTTTGGGATGCCAAAATGAAAGATGAAACACTGGCCTCTCAAACAACAAATATCCACCACAACACTGGCCCCACTAGAGAATATTTCTCCATGCTGCCTTAAGGGTCTGGAGCCTGAGAAAGCACTATAAAGGCATAATGGTCTCTTCTTTCTCTTTGGTTGCACTTAAGTAGGATTAGATGAAAGTGATTATATGAAAAAATGCAGCCCTGCCCTGCCCCTCAGCTAAGGGGCATCACCATTCTCTGTACCTGGCAGTGGCACTTTGGAGGATCTGTGCCTCTGAAGCTAGATGGGATGCAGTCAGTGGTTTCCTCTCTTTCCCCACTCAGCCCAGCAGGTAAGCATGGTACTTGAACAGCTCTGGATATCCACACCCACTTGGCCTCATAGTCCCACCTTATCAAAACTGCAGAATTAAAATTTTCTGACATCTTAGGAGTTAAGAACTCAAGAGAGGGCCTCCCCTGGTGGCGCAGCGGTTGAGTGCTGTGCTGCGAAGCTGCCCGCAGCCTCTGCAGCGCCGGTTCGATCCCCGGCCACCGGCAAGGGTCCCACAGGGTGCGCAGACCTCTCCTGCTGCCCGCTGCTCCCCTCAGCAGTGTATTTTCATCAGTCTGCCTGTTCTGTTCCCCACTCTGGCTCTGGTGAATTCTCTCACCCTCCCGCGCTTCTGACTGTACCCAGTGCTTGTATAAATAAATAAATAATAAATCTTAAAAAAAAAAAAAAAGAACTTAAGAGAAAAATACAGACATGGTCCTTTCAGGAAAAGTTCAAAGGCCACTAACCTAAGCAATAAAGATTGAATATATTCAACATAAATCTAAAACTGAAGCCAAACTTCATACATTCAGATTTCTCCCTCTCCCCCATAAAACTTTGCTATAAAATCATTGTTCTCTATTATCCAAGGCATTACTCTCCTGATCTCAGTCCAGGTGTCATAAACAATACCATTATTTCTAGGCCACATTAGAACACTAATGATAGAAATTAGAACACAGTTGATAGAAAGAAAAATACAGAAGCAGTTGCAGCTTCAAATACCTTCCTAGATGTGCTTAAGTCAGAAAAGAAAAGCCAATACAATTAAAATTAATAGGGTGTAGTGACAGCTAGGGACTGTAATGATTTATTTGGAGTATAACCTGACACTTCAAATACTCTCTTATGTTCAGTTGAAAGTTTTTAGGGCCTAAGGAGGAAGTGAATGGAATGACCCACTTGAGACAGCACCAAAGGAATAGAGATGACTTCACACCCCCAGAAGACAGCAACAGGCAGACAAAAAACATTAGACGATTAAAAGTGAACTGGGACATAGTTCAATGTCAGTACATCTCCAGTTCCATTATATCCTCACCTTTCTCCAAACAACCAGGCCTTTCAGTTAGCCTGTTTAGACAATTCTTGCTCTAAGAGATGATTCTAGAGCGCATGCACGCACGCGTGTGCACACTTACACACACACACATACACACACACGTTATTTTAAATTTTATTGTGGTGGAAAAAAATATCCTGAAATATTTGTTAAGTAACAATAATTCCTGACAAGATCATTCTTCAGGGTTTTCAACTGCCATCTTCTAGTCAGATATGTGTTCCTCACCCTTGTAATAAGCTTCATTAATATTGCCATCAACCATGGGAAAACCCAAAGATTTTCTAAATGGCTTCCAAAGTTCTGCATAGATGCCCTTAATTAGTCCAAAGGTACACAAACAAGTTGGGAGAAAAATTAGAAGGACAGCGAGAGGAAAAACACATTAACAACTGGTGATTCTAGCATGGAGGGTATATGAGTGTTCACTTATACCATTCTTTCAACTTATTTCTTAATCATAGGCACACTAAAAAGTTACTGTAGTGTGATGATGCTATTTTTGAGACTTGCCTAAAAATATATTCAATTATTACTTTTCAAACCAGAAACAGAAAAATCAGTTCTCCCCGCAAGGTGATACTCACTTTCTAGTCTGTGTAAAAAAGTTTCCAGAGCTTTTTGGAATATTTAAATTAAGGGGCTACAGTACACTGATACGGTTTTATAGTTCTTGGAGTCAAACTCTCATCGGAGGTCTGTGATGGTCACTGCTCTTTCCACGACAGTCACGTGGCTGCAGCTCTGCAACAGAAAAAAAAAGAAAGTGAAAGTCCTGGAAAATTCCACAGTCTTTTTAAAAAACTCCTTATAGGGCCTCCCTGCTGGAGCAAGGGGTTAAGTCTCAGCACTATGAAGCTATCCACGGCCACAGCAGCTCAATCCCACATGGCACAGCAGACCTCTCCTGTCTCTCGCCCGCTGCTCCCCTCGGCAGTGTATTTCAGTAGATCTGCCTGTTCTGCCCTGCACTGCGTCTCTGGTGAATCCTCTCACCCCCTGCACCTCTGGGTTACACCCTAAATCATAAATTAAAATAAAACACAACTCCTTGATTAAAATGTTCATTCTGGGGGTTGGGGGGGGGAAGCTCATTCTGGCTAGTAGTTCCCAGCTTGGAAGCCGGGCTGCTACTTAAATGGCATTATGGTTTGGGGCCTGGGACTCATTACTTCCAAAAATTACTACCTGTAGCCTGAAGCTACATCAGCCTATATAGCTTTATTTTTCAAATGTATTATATCCTAGCATGATTCATAAAATATACATTTATTTAAAAGAATTGCTGCATTCATTACAGCTTTTGGGGTTATTATGTCAACCAGATAATAAAGTACACCTTCTCTCACATGGAAATGCTCACTCTGGGCATGAAAAGGAATCTTTATCACTGAAAACCTGGGCATTTGGGGGGAATTGTGCATTCAACACATATGTGTTTCAACATATTGGCACTTAGACATTTATTACATTCCAATGAAGACTAACTTATCTTTGAACAGATCTGTCAGAAAGTTCTTTCTCAAACTCAGCAGAAAATTGTTACTCCCTGAGCCTGAGTTTTAATTCTGGAGAGCCTCATGAAATATACCCCATTCCCTTGTATGCAGCAATCCTTAAAGTCAGTTCTCAGATTCTCTCTGATTCTCGGATTTCTCTTCTAATTCTTAAATTTCTCTTCTAAACATCCCTAGTTCCTTTTATGTGACAAGATTCTGAGTCCTTTTTCCATGAAGCCTCCTCCCCCTGCCGTACAAAAACACACACACACACAAAAACCTCCATGGCCAGCATCAGATTACATTAGATTTAAGGGGCACACTGAGACATACTGATCTTATCAGTCACTGAAACTTTTTTATTCACAAAATACAACTTAGGGGAAAAAACAACTTCTTAAGGTCATAAAATCTTTATTATCTAAGCAAAATTCAAGAATCAAATATATTTTATCTAAAGTGAAATCTTTGAATTCAAACCTCTTGTTGAAGCACAGGCTTGGCAAACTGAAGTTGATGAAGAAAACCAACATTTAATAACCCAGCTACTGCACATTAACTCATTTAATTCTCTCAATAACCCTAAAAATAGATATTATTGCTTACATTTTTTAAATTATCAACCCCATTTACAGATGAGAATGCTGAGGCTTAGGATGGTTAAATAGTCTGAACAAAGCATAGACATTAAATGGCAAGGCTAAGACTTAAATCCATTCCTATCCCATACTGCTTCCCATATATATCCTTATTAGGAAGATTTGAAAAGGTAACTGACAAGTTTCATTTTCTATGTGGACATGGCACCTCCTCAGTTCTGACTGTCCTCCTGGCTTAAGACACAGCCCTGATTTCTTCTACATAGATACATACACAGAACAGAGGTGGATCCTTGCTGTGTGGATGAAATCCTTTCTGGCGACAGGAAGAAATCTCCTCTAGTCCATGGTCAGTTAGTTTAAAGAACCCAGTTCTGAAATAAGAAAAGGTAGGCCTAGAATCAAGCAAAGATATCCCCCTGCCAACCCCCAACACACACACACACACCCCAGGGCAGAGCTCATTCTGAGACAGCTTCAAAAGTATGCTGGTTCATAGGCTCCTCTTGGTGAATGAATCAGATTAGAGAGAATCATTAGAGAATGACTCACCATTGCCACACTAGTTTTGCTGGGAGGATTCATAGTAAATATCAGGATTTGGAATGAAAAAGAATACTCTGAGATAATCTACTTAATTTTGAAAGTCTCTAACCTGTCACCAACTTAAAGAAATTCCTACTGCTTCAAGTCAAACATTTCAAATTTCTTATGTCCCGTCCTTAGAGAAGCATCTAAGTCATGGCTTAGATATATTTCTGAATAAGCACAGGATATGGTGCCTAAATGGAAGACTTATGCAACAGCCAATTAAGACCAGCAATTTATATATTTTATAGAGAGCCGGAGGATAGAGACCTTTTCCTTTGACACGCCTCCCCCACCTTCTCCTTGTAACCCTTAGAACCACTTCCCATGTACTTACTCCTGGAACTTGGGGGAGCAAACAATAGCTATAGACTCTGGCAACATCATCTGGTAGGAGCAGTGAGTGTGCAGGTCAACACTGGAGAGAAAGGCAGTCTGAGTGGGATGAGTCTGAGAAGAGAAAGAAAGTCAGCGACCCCTTTATAAGGGATCACAGTCGTCCTGGCCCACGAAGGGAGACAGAGCCAAATAGCATTCAATAGCTAGTCACAACCTGCTTTTCAAATACAAAACCAGTTTTAGCCATGTGGAGTAAGCCAGAAGTTCACAATAACCAGTGAACTTCCCTTCCAGTATTTTAACAAGTATAGTTTAACATGAGTATATGAAGTCTTATAATTTCTAACTGACCAAGACATTTTGACTCCTCACAAGCTGTCTTTATACAATGGAGTCACCCATTCTGGTGTAGGTGGTACCTGCTGATGGTATAATACTTCAACATGGTAGAAGTCAAGGACTTAACAAATGACAGTTATATGAATGACTTTTCTTGCTGACAGAGGTGTTAAAATGTCAAGCATGAGGGGGGCCTCCCCTGGTGGCACAGCAGTTGAGCACTGGGTTGCGAGGCTGCTGCAGCCTCTGCAGTGCCAGTTCGATCCCTGGCCACCGGCGAGGGTCCCACAAAAAAAAAAAAAAAAAAAAAAAAGTCAACCATGAGGGGCCTCCCTGGTGGTGCAAGGGGTTAAGTCGCAGCACTATGAAGCTATCTGCAGCCACTGCAGATGGAACAGCAGACCTCTCCTGTTTGCCCGCTGCTCCCCTCAGCAGTGTATTTTAGTCAACTCACCTGTTCTGTTCCCCACTCTGTCTCTGGTGAATCCTCTCACCCCTGCCCCCCGCACCACTGGCCTGTACCCAGTTCTTGTATGCATAAATAAATAAATCTTTAAAAAAATAAAATGTGAACCATGAGTCTGGAGCTCTATAGCAAAAAGTTTACCAGCAAAAGGTTAAAGCTGTCCTATAGTAAAGCATGTCACCCGAAGATATAAGAAGCAGAGGCTGACTGGGATTTCAGTGGGCAGTTAAATCTCACAAAGGACTCTGTTTTGCTTGGGAAATGCTGAAGATACTTAAATTTGAGGGTAAACAACTAAAGCATCATCTAAATGTGCATTCAGCTTACCTAGTTTGTTTCCAATTATTCTATGTTTTATTGAGCACATTATTTGTATACAAATGTGCAAAACTATGTAATGACTCATGTTCATTTTAAAGGGGGTATGATCTAAGGTAACATGAACAGAAAACAAATAACCCAAACCTAAAACAAAAGACCTCCAACCTCACTGACAGAAATGCACAGAAAATATATAAATAAGTATACTTGACTAGTGTTTTTAAACCTGCTGTACAAAAAAAAAAAGAAAGAAAGAAAGAAAGAAATTAAGCTCCTGAGGAGTTTGTCAAAAGCACAGGGTCTTGTGGCCCAGTCCCAGAAATAGCAGTCTAGAGAAGGAGTTTTCTTTTTCTTCTTTTTTAAGCTGATTAACTGATTATGTGCAGTTTCATCTGCGAAGCACCCCTCTATAAATGCTGTGACCAGCTCACTCGGGGAGAAATCTGTTACACAGGGACACATCAGCCAAGTGTTGGAAGCACATACATGCACAGGTCCTCAGGGGCCATGTAGGAACCCAGATGACATTTTGAGAAAAAGAGTTTCTGCTTGTTCATAATATGATCCTATAGGCTACCAGGGAGTAAAGGCTTGTACAAACACTTTTCACCTCATGGTTTCTGCTGAGAATTCCAACTAGGAAGAGAAGAGGCCTAACACAAATCCATCAAGGCCTCTGATCTCAGGTTGGGTTAGCTAGAAAAACTTAACAGAGAGACACACAGCAGGAGATCAATAAATAATTGTTAAAGTGAATAAAAAAATTCCCTTGAGCCTCTGCTCCCTTATAACTACTGTACAGAACTTCTTCCCCTTTCCTTCTCACTTGAGTTTTTTAAAAGAATGGTTATGTCCACTGTGTCCATCATGCTGGGGAGACAGGAAGGTTATTTTTATGAAGAGAAAGCGATATACTAAGGGAGTGAAAAGGAGCAAGGAGAGTGAATGCTGAAGGCAGCCTGGGCACCTGGACAGGAGCAGAGTGGTCACAGGAAACATGCTGTAGAAAGAATTAATCTGTTTGTATTCTCTTGCTAATTTTAAGATCTGAGCAAACTTTATGATCTGCTTTTTTTTTTTCTTTCAGCTAAGACACAATAGGGGTGATTTATTGTACATTATTACATTCAGTCATAACTAAGAACAGAACTAGTCCAGAATGTCACAGGTCCAGGTCGAGGGGATAGGGCATTTGACTGCAGGTCCAGTTTGTAGAATCAAAAAGGACTGTTTTGGTGTCAGCAAGGTAGATCTCTCAAAGGTGGTCACAGCGATCTGATGGTGATGAATGCCTAAATCCATCGAGACAACTTCTAGATAGAACACATCCTAACAATCTGTACCAGCGCTCCAGGCCTCCAGCTTTCCTTATTTCTGCTCCTGTGGGTTCCATGGGTGCATAGTTCTCAGTTTACTTGGACCTCTGCCTCATCTTTCTTCTTTTGTGCTTCAGCATATGCATTTGCTTCTTCAAAACCAGGCAAAATGAACTACTGAGTTTAGGGATGCCTGATAGCAAAACTATAAAGAATGAAAAGGAATTCCAGAAAAGTTAGGAAAGGGACCGCCTGTACCTGGGAGGACGTGAGATTGGGCAGGAGTGTGGTGGTGTGGGGGAAGCATGCTTCTGGTAAGGTTCTGTTTCTTGACTATGTTCCGTGTACATGTAGATATTTGCTTAATGATTCATTAAGAGTACTTTTAGTTTATGTACTTTCTTATGTATGTCATATTTCAAATATAAAGGTTTTGAGAAAACAAAATCAAAACAAAACATATGTTCAAGCCTCTCATACTAAACAGTCAAGCAAACATTCTCTCAATGCAGCTACTCCTTAAGCCACCACCCATTCCTTTCCTTTCCTGTAGAGCTAGGCTCTTCAAAGGGTTAGTATACATTTAACTATATCACAATCCCTAACCCCACTATTTCTTAAATCCTTATAATGTACTCTTACCACTACAACTCCTCAATCAAGGTCATCAATGACCTCATCAAATCCAACAGGCTAGTTCAAGTTATCACTTCAGAGCTCTCTCCAATGCGTGGCATGGTTAACATCCTGAAATTTCTTCTTAAAACCTTCCTCTTCCATTGGCTTCTATGCCTTACACTATCCTCTTCTTTCTCTGATATCTCTGCTTCATTACTGACTATACTCTCCTAGGTAGCCTGCTCGCCAAGCTACTGGTAAATCTCTTCTTGCTTTCCTCTCTCCCCCAGTTCCAAAGCTTCCAGGGTAAGCTCGATGCAGAGGACTCCCCAATCTCTTTCTTACAATAACCTTGCTCCCAAGATCCAGCCATATTTCCAACTGCCTAATAACTACCTCACTGATTTAATGTCCCACCAGTACCTTAAATTCAACATGCTCAGACCCGAGCACACCTTTGCCTCACTTCCAAAGGAAGTTCTCCCTGGAGTCTGTTTCTATTCATGAGATGATTACTGACATCCCCATGAGTCAGGCCCTAAATCTCTAAGTCATCACTGACTTTTACTCATCTTCTTCTCTTATTTACTTTCCCATATTTGTCTTCTTCCCAGATGCACTGCCATCGCCCTAACTCTCTTAAGCATTAGATTTTATAATGTCTTAAGTGGTCTCCCTGGCTCAACCCTACCTTAAATCTATGTCTAGGGTAAATTTTCTGAAGTATGACTTTGATCATGTCACTGTTCTATTACAATAGCCCTTAGGAGATCTCCAATTACTAAAAAGCAGAACTATTCTGCCTGTCTACCCAAGATCCTCCAGAACACGGCTCAAAAGCTTATCGACCACTATTTCCTGATATGAACCATAAAACCCAGGAAATTGGACTACTCAAGCCTCCAGGAACATAGTCCACCTATCCCAAAGTTGTACCCTCCAGATGGGACTTTCCCTTGGCCCATTTTGTCCAAATGATAGCAAATCATACTAACTGTGAGCCTTCTCTCCTCTGAATTCCACCGTTTGTACCTCTAAAGCGTTTGCATGTTTCGCCTCATGTGAAGGGTTACTACTTGTCTACTTGCCCAATCCCCCTTATGACACTAAAATCATATTTTATCCAAATTTGTATCTCTTGGCAGATAAAGAACACATTTTATATCCCCATATATTACAATGGGAGCTATACAATAAAAGACAAGTATTTATCTATAATTGCTCTGAAAAAAAGTCACATGGGACTGCCTCATAGGTCAATACTTCCCAAATTCTAACATACAAATATGTGTCACCTTCCCAAACCAGAAATGAGCTGACCTCTTTGTAGGTAACCCTGTCACACAACATGAAAAGCAGCTTGGTCTATCAGTGAGGGATTGAAGAATAGAAATAATCTTTAGGAATGGAATTATATTTTACCTAAATATTAGCAGAAAATTGCAATAAGATATGCAGATTCTTGAAAATCACCTATATTAGCCACCCTTTGGTTTGAATTAAGGAGTATCCTGCTTTAATAAAGGCCAAATGCAAGCATCTTAATGTCTGTGGTTCATTTAAAATACTTTGATTTATATTCCTTTTAGGCACAGTTTCTATAACAATGTCCACATATAATCTAGGCCAGCATCCCATCACTATTCATATTCATAGGGAAATTGGGACTTTAGGGAAACAGGTTTGTTTTTATTTAAAAAAAAAAAAGCACTAAGTACTTCTCAGATATCAATACTGGAATACAAGGAGTCAAATAGGCTAGGCAAGTCAAGCATGCATTCAATGGTGGGAAAAACAATTATGGAAATAATCTGGATACGATTCACTTTGCCAAGAGACAGAAAGAGCATTGAGTTGAACACATCATGAGAGAAGAGGAGGCTAGTCCTCTGAGAGCTTGAATTGCTTACATGAATCCAACCCAATGTGATGAGGCCCTGCTGATCCTGTATGAGAAAAAGTTCTTCTTCATTTTCGGTGTTGCAATAGTCAGATCCAGCACTTTGCTTGGGGACGAGAACGTGGGTAATGGTAAATTCATTCCTCATCTGTCAAAGAAGAAAACAGCTTGTGATAATTCCCTGGCACTTATGCAACTGCACTCTATCTTGGTAGTGGAAATTTACAACAGCTATACAATTGGAGGCCCTTCCCACTCCAAGGGATTACTGAGTCATCTGCTGCTCCCAGAGTCCCTCACCTCAGTGGTTCCCAACCTTGGCTGCTCACACAGACTGCCTAGGGCACAATACAAAGCAGTAGATGCCCACAGCCCTGTGGGAATTTCCTGCTACAGCCAATTTGGTTCTTGAGAACTTCAGATATACCATTTGTTTTCCCCTGCTCTTGCAGAAAGTAATTTCCCTCTCGCTGTTTCTCTAAGTTATTTTCATCCTTTTAGTAACGGCTTCTATAAATGTCTCCAGTCAAAGATCTTTCCTTCTCAAAATTCCTAGTACTCATATTGTACCTATTATTTTGCATGCTATTTATTTCTTGGTGTATATCTCTCATTTTTCCCAAATGCTTTTATATATGTTTTGTGGGTACATGCAACATGCCTTACATATTTTATGGTCCCAGGTCCATAAATCAGGTGTTCAAAAAAGGATATACAGGGAATGACTGGCTTTTCCCTCCAAATTAAGAATTAGGTATTTCTTACTACTAGCATCCAATCAATCAATTCAATCTAAGGCACTCTGAAAAAAATCAAATAAAGGGTTTCCAAATTTAAAATGACACTAGTTCCTTCTGTAGAGGGATCTGGACAGAGTAACTGAATCTGGAATTCTTCTCTGAGCATCATCGGAGACCAAAAGGGGAAGAAATGGTGTCAGCTCAGGAAAGAGTTTGAATTTTACCAGTTTTCCACAGAGAATTCCACAGGTCTCCACTCCCCGGGCAGTGTTGGCACTGGCTAACTGGAGAAACTGAGGGCAGAGCCTTTCAGGTACAACCACGTGACGCAGCCCATCAATTGTAGGAACTACAATGAAGAAGGGAAAAGTCTAAGGCCATTTGGGAAGGAGCCTCCCCAAATAGACCTCAGAGCTGGCTGTGCTGAGAGAGCAATGCCAAATCACTGGGGTCCCCCCAACTTCAGGCAGTGAATGGGGATCTCACTCTAATGGCAGAACAAAAAGGATGGAAGTCTCCTCTCCAACCTCTGGCCATAGCAATCGGTGTACATTCTTTCAAGAATAGAACAAGGATTAATCATTGAAGTTAAGACAAGACTAAACAACTACTTAAAAGAAAGTTTCTAAGTTACTCAATAGTTCTCTGTCCCAATCTAATACAAAGGGGGCCTCCCTGGTGGTGCAAGGGGTTAAGACACAACCTATCAAGCTATTCACAGCCACTACAGCCAGCCAGGGAGCTACCCAAATGGCACAGTAGACCTCCTGACTCGCTCCCTGCTCCCCTCAGCAGTGTATTTCAGTCAATCCGCCTGTTCTGTTCCCCCCACTGTCTCTGGTGAATCCTCTCACCCCCCACATCTCTGGCCTGTATCCCAGCTCTTGAATGCATAAATAAATCAATCTTTAAAAAAAAATCTAATACAAAGTACTAAAATATAACCTCTTTTACTTCTTCTATCTCTTTTATCTCAGATAAGAATTTCAGAAAGTATGACTTTCAAAAAAATACACTGGTATATATTCTAGGTAGCAGAGAATAATATGGGTAACTACTTCTGAACCTACTCATTTATAATAAAGTTAAGATGCCAAACAAAACAACAAAAAACATATTCTGGGTCTCAAAAACAGCATGCATGAACAAAGTAGCTCATGAGTCAGCTTCAGATTGCCAAGAACAGACTAGTCCTTGAACACTAGGGAGAAACCTGATGAGAGTGCCAACAGGCTGACATTAGTGTGGATCTTTCAGAGTTACATTTTCATGGGGAAAAAAAAAGTGAGAGGGGATGTTCTGCTTCTGCACACCTGGCAGCAAGATCTGAACTGCTGTGGAGGTAACAAAGTCACAGGAGGAATGATGTGGACTTGCAGCCTGATGACAGCATCTGAGGATTCTGAGTTAAGGTTTGGCACAGACCTTTCCTCCTAATTCAATAATCACTTACAGAGCATATACTAACTAGACAGTGGGCTCAGCCCATTGGGAACACAAAAATGAGTAAGACTCAAGCCCTAACCTACAGGAAATTAAACTTTAGTTATTGTCAAGTGACTACACTATCAAGTAAATTATCTCAACTGTATTTTAGATACTAAGAGCTCTGGGAGTCTTAAGGAGATGAGAATCAATCTGACAAAAGAAAGAGGGGTCTGGAAAATTTCCAAGAAAAGCAGGGAAGGCTGAGATAGAGAAAGAAGAATTTTGGTCCAGGACAAATTTTAACAAAGCTCTTTGGGTAAGCTAGTCCTGGGACTGTATTGGGAACATGAGAGGCCAATTTGACCAAAAGATAGACTATTTAAGAAGGAACAGTACTAAGAGACAAGTCAAGTACAGGTGGAAAAAATCCTAAGGGTCAGGCTTCAGAGTCCAGGACCTTTGCCACTCTTACATTGTTTTTTCATGTGGATCCTCTGCAAAGCTGACTACCTTTAATGACAACTTGAAAACCCATTCCTACACCCCAAACCCCCCACCAAAAAAAACCCCAACCTATTTTAATGATGAAGGTATACTCATCATTATTGCTGCTATTACTGTTTTCTCAGATAACCATTTATGGGTGAGAGGAGGAAACATTGTCAATAGTTTTTATGGCTATGGTGAATTACCACTAACTATATATAGCTTTATCTTTTTTTAATATGTATTTTTTACATGGTTGTTCATTTTTATTTATTTATTTTATTTTTATATAAAGATTTATTTATTTATACAAGAACCGGGGTACAGGCCAGATGCGTGGGAGGGTGAGAGGAGTCATCAGAGATAGAGCGGGGAACAGAACAGGCAGACTAATGAAATACACTGCTGAGGAGAGCAGCGGGCGAGACTGGAGAGGTCTGCTGCGCCATATGGGACCCTCTCCGGCCGGCCAGGATCAAACCCACACTGCAGAGGCTGTGGACAGCTTCACAGCGCTGCACTCAACCGCCTGTGCCACCAGGGGAGGCCCTCATTGTTCACTTTTAAATAATGTTTGCCTCCTCCTTCCCCCACTCCCCCCAGGTATAGTCCCCACAGATTTTTTTTTTTTAAGATTTATTTATTTATGTATACAAGGGCTGGGATATAGGCCAGAGGTGCTGTGGGTGAGAGAATTCACAAGAGACAGAGTGGGGAATAGAACATTCAGATCAACCAAAGTTCACTGCTGAGGGGAGCAGCGGGTGAGCCAGGAGAGGTCTGCTGTGCCATGTGGGTTGCTCCCTGGCCAGCTGGGAATTGAACCCATGCTGCAGACAGCTTTACAGGCTGTATCTTAACCCCTTGCACCACTAGAGAGGTTCCCCCACAGATCTTAATTAAGCATCTTCCAGATTCGGAATGCTTTCAGGGCAAGCACAATTCACAGCTCCTTTTAAATATTTTTAAAAAGTGAATTGTTGAATTGCAATGTAGTATTATAAATTTCAAATTTCCTTTACAAAGGAAGACCTTTATAAAAGCAGTATCTAATTCACTGAACACTTCAAATGTCTGTATAACCCTTAAAAGCTGGGGGCAGGCCTCCCTGGTGGAGCAAGGGGTTAAGTCTCAGCACTATGAAGCTATCCACAGCCACTGCAGCACGATTTCGAAGCCCAGCCAGGGAGCTACCCACATGGCACAACAGACCTCTCCTGTCTTGCCCGCTGCTCCCTCAGCAGTGTACTTCAGTCAATCTGCCTGTTCTGTTCCCCACTCTGTCTCTGGTGTATCCTCTCACTTCCCACACCTCTATCCTGTACCCCAGTTCTTGTATGCATAAATAAAGAAATCTTTAAAAAAAATAAAAGCTGGGGGGGGGTCTCAGTTTCAGGTTATAATTAGCATTTCAGAACACTGGCCTGGACTCAGGTAACTTATATGGTCAAGTATAGGTCACTTTCACAACATAGCCTGTGTGAGAGAACAGAGTATGGCAATACTAATCAAATGGGTTTCCTTGACCATTGCCCAATGGGTAGGATCATGGTGATAATCTTAGGTTGAATCCCCCAGAAAGACACTCTGTTGGGCTGCAGGTGAGATGGGAGGGAACAGAAGCAAATGGACTTACTACTTTCTGAGTTGCTCAATGCTCCAGGTTTCAAGGACCTGTCCACCACAGGTGGCTTGACAGGCCTTACAGTTGTATTATTATCTGAAGGCTGTATGGATGAGGCATGTACCATGGGGAATGCCTCTGGGGAGGGTTTCTCCAAGTCAGGCACCAGTGGGCCACCTAGGCCAGGATCCACCTTCCCAAACTCCTGTACAATTTTCAGTCGCTCTTTTTCTAGCTCCTGGTTCCTAATCATCTCCTCGAAGGCATGGAACTGTTCCTGCTCCAACTGCTGCTGCTTTTGTTGGGCTATCCTCTGTTTTTCCTTTTCCAGCTCCTGTTGGATGGCCATGTTCCGGGCAAATTCTTCTGCTTCCTTCTTCTACAAAGAAAGAATAGGAGTTAGGCCAACACATGACACTCATGTGACTTCATGCCTCAATGGAACATGGTTTTTCTTTTCTTTTCTTTTTTTTTTTTAAAGATTTATTTATTTATACAAGGGTACAGGCCAGATATGAGGGAGGATGAGAGGATTCACCAGAGACAGAGCAGGGAACAGAACAGGTAGATTGATGAAATACACTGCTGAGGGGAGCAGCAGGCGAGACAGGAGAGGTCTGTCACACCATGTGGGTATCTCCGTGGCCGGTGGGGATCAAACTGGCACTGCAGAGGCTGCGGACAGCTTCACAGCGCTGTGCCCTGCCAGAGAGGCCCAGAACAAGGTTTTTCAGCAGGGATATTTTCCAAAATTTACTTTTGCTCTGAACTGATTGCCCAAAACTGAATCCATGATGTCCTGGGTAGCTCTATACCCATGGGATAAGGTGCTATGTTGCCACCTTATACTTGTTCTGCAAAGACTGGCAAAGTCCCAATCCTCTCACACCCTCCCCATGACACTAACACATTTCTTTACTGAAATCCTGCTGCAATGTATTATTTGTATGTTATATAATATATGTTTTTATTCTCTGTGCCATGTATAATCTGTATCCCAAGTAAGGCCATAAAACAGAACCAAATCCAAACTTATACCTTCTATGTTGGGGATCTTTATTGCATTTTAACCAAAATGAAGACTTTAACATTTTTCTGGTGATCAGTTTAATAGAGTGACATTTCAAACTACTGACTATCAAGTAATAACCTTTATTAAGATTTTCCCTCACTCAGTGCTTTAGAAATACATACTTCATAGTTCACCATCTCTTGTCTTTCAACATTAGGGTCCAGAACAGAACTTAGCAGACAGCCACAAACCAGTGGAAGAATCTGCAGTGTATTTCACATCTGATGCAGACTATCACTAGTACTTTGGGAGTTTTCCCATGTTTCAGACTCTTCCAACAAGACACCACTTAAAACCAGCTAGAGAAAAAATCCAATTGTCATAAACAGACATAATCTGTTTCATTGTTCTGATGTTATTGTTCTACATATAATAGCAATAGATTTTTCTGTCCCTTAAGTCATCCTCCAGGACAAGCGGGCTAAATCTGTGTTGGAATCTTCTATATAAACAACTATGTTCTACTTTGAATTTCTGGACTTTGCATGGTAAAAATTCACATAAAATAGTGAAATGTCATATTGCAATTCCAAGGCACAGTCTAAGAAACTAAAAATAATCTCAGGCCTCCCTGGTGGCACAGGGGTTAAAGACAGTGCTATTGCTAGCCACTACAGCATGAGTTCAATCCCCGGTAGGCCAGGGAGCTACCCACATGGTGCAGCAGACCTCTCCTGACTCGCCCGCTGCTCCCCTTAGCAGTGTATTTCAGTCAATTCGCCTGTTCTGTTCCCCCCACTCTGTCTCTGGTAAATCCTCTCACCCTCCACACTTCTGGCTTACACCCCAGTTCTTACATGCATAAATAAATAAATCTTTCTTTAAAAAAAAATAAAAATAATCTCTCCTTTTTTTTTAAACTGTTGTCTACTCACCTTTTCTTCATTATATTCTGCATATTCTTTGGTATATCGTTTTAACAGTTCTGCCTTTAGCTCTTCTGCTTTGGGAAATGCAATCTCCTTTAATTTCTGAGACCCAAAACAAAAAACTGAGAATTAGAACAAGTGTCAGCTAATAAGTAGAGAAGTAAAAAGAAGACTTCAATCAAGTTGGTCATGAAGACATTGTTTCCAAAATTGATTTAAAATACCCCATATAGGGCCTCCCTGGTGGCTTAGGGGTTAGGTCTCAGTGCTATCACCACTCCACACTGAGTTCGATCCCTGGCCAGTAACCCACATGGCACAGCAGACCTCTCCTGTGTCACCCACTGCTTCCCGTATTTCAGTAAATCTGCCTGTTCAGAGTGCTCTGCACTCTGTCTCTGGTGAATCCTCTCATCCCCCACCCCCACACCTCTGGCTTACACCCCAGTCCTTCTACACAGAAAAAACAAAACAAAACAAACAAATAACAAAAAAAAAAAACAAAACCCCCTACTATACCAGACCTACTCTGTAATGGGTCCTGTAAAAAGGCCTGTCTCCTACTGCTTGGGTGCACACACCACTACTTTTACCTTTAAGTCTGTGCTTCTCTGAAGTTCTCAGATAGGCAACAGTGAAAATGAAGACCCACCTTTACTGTGTCTTTCTTTTCTGGAATGACAGCGGATTTGTAATCTCGATGCTTTGGTAGTTTCTCAATAAAGAGCCTAAGGGAACAGATCAAAATGATAATGCAAAGAAAATTTCCAAAAAAGACTCTGAAATAATGCGACTCTCTTAAACTGCCACACCTGTGTACTGGGTTTCTGTACTTGCAGGGAGGGTAACAGACAAAGTGGGAAGATCATGTTTCCTACCCATCCTTTTCCCTGTAAAGAACAAAAGAGTATATCCTTCACCTCCCAAATCAGGTGTGCAGCAGTAAGCACCAGATTCCTAAAACAAAAAAGATGGGTAGGAAAATGCCTATCCTGTGCCCAGAAATGTACTTCCAAAGAGATTCTTTTTTAAATTATTTATTGAGGTATCATTGGTTTACAATACTATATGGGACTTAGAAGACTAGGTTCACACCTCTTCAGATCTGTTACCACACGACACATACCACTAAAGTACCCACAGTCCTCCACCATAGACCATTTGGCCCCCACTCTCATTGTTCCCACCCTACCTCCCTTCTAGTAGCCTCAATTCTTCAGTCATAATTCTGGGTTTGTTTTGGTTTAGCTTTGTCTGTTTCTTTGTTTTGTTTCTCTATACTCCACGTATGAACATATAATCCAGTGTTTGTCTTTCTTCTTCTAATGCATTTCACTAAGCATAATCCCCTCTAGTTCCATCCATGTTGTTGCAACTGGCAAGATATCATCTCTCTTTACAGCTGAGTAGTATTCTATTGTCTTTATATACCACACCTTGTTTATCTCCTCATCTGTTGTTGGGTGCTTAGGTTGTTTCCATAACCTGGTATTATAAATAACACTCCATGAACACAGGAATGCATAGTCTGTCAAATTAAGAGTTTTTGCATTCTTTGGATAAATACCAAGGAGTGGAACTGCTGCATGATATAACTATTTTAAATATTTTCTGGTTGTGATGTGATAGATTTTCAAAGGAAAGGTCCTAGTCACAAAAAACTCCAGAGAAGAGTTTGGGGACCAAGTGCAAGAGGCTAAGAGAAAAGTCATGTTTCCTTACTATCCCTAGAACCAGTGTAACTTTGGATTATTTTTCCCCTGTGGGAATCATGTTCCTTCAAAGGAAAATATTCTGTACATCATACCAAACATTGAGATGCTAAGATAGTGCATACATTGTATCTGTAGAATACATGCTGGTTACATGTATAATGTGCATTATGATCTTTGATGAAAAGTTCTTAGAGAAATATATGATAGATTTTTCTCTTTCAGTTCTTGTTCTTGGTTGTAAAGCCCAGAGGGAAACATAAACTGAATCAATTCATAGACTTCTAACATTTATGATTATCTGAGGGAACAGTGAAAACAAACAGGAATTCAGTAACTTGTCACAGTCCAAAGTGACAGAATCAGATTTTCAATGCCAGGAGACTGGCTTCAGAGTCTACTTTTTAAGCCACTATACCATACTACCTCCACATGGCTCCTGGAATGTGTAGAACTGTTGGAGGATTCTGAACAAAGATGTTTTTTAACAGAATTAAGTGGCAATAAATAAATTGAGGGTAGCTTGCCAACAGTCCGAAAATACTATACTGTAGTTGGGATAAACTAACTCTTTGCTACTTTCTGTCCATGGGTATGAGTAAATGGAGCAGAAAGCCCAGCACGGGGAAAAGAGGGCACTGTCCACCAAAACAAACCCTTTGTAGATGAGCCCTTCTCCTTTACTTCCATACTAGGTACATGAAAATTTCATTTCAATCCAATTTGACAAGGCCCCTGGGGCACAGATAAATTCTAAAGTCAAAGTGATTGTAGGGCCTCCCTGGTGGCACAAGGGGTTAAGACGCAACCTATGAAGCTATCCACAGTCACTGCAGCAGGAGTTCGATCCCTGGCCAGGGAGGTGACCCACATGGCGCAGCAGACCTCTCCTGGCTTGCCCGCTACTCCCCTCAGCAGTGTATTTCAGTCAGTCTGCCTGTTCTGTCTCCACTCTGTCTCTGGTGAATCCTCTCATCCCCCACACCTCTGGCCTGTACCCCAGTTCTTATATGCATAAATAAATCTTTAAAAAAAAAACCCCACAAAACAGGGCCTCCCTGGTGGCACAAGGGGTTAAGCACCGCATTATTAAGCAACTGCAGCCTCTGCAGCACGAGTTCAGTCCCCGGCTGGCCAGGGAGCAACCCACATAGCAAAGCAGACCTCTGCTGTCACCTGCTGCTTCCCTCAGCAGTGTGTTTCAGTCAATCTGCCTGTTCTGTTACAACTCTGTCTCTGGTGAGTCCTCTCACACCCCACATTTCTGGGCTGTACCCCAGCTCTTGTATGCATAAATAAATAAATCTTTAACAAGAAAAACCAAAGTGATTCTAAAAATCTTCCCTTTGGGCTCATGAAAAAGATAAAAAAAAGCTTCCTTTAAGTCTGTATTTAAAACAAGTACAGTGGGCCTTCCCTGGTGGCGCAGGTGGTTGAACACGGCACTGTGAAGCTGTCCAGAGCCTCTGCAGTGCTGGTTCTATCCCCGCCAGCTGCGAAGCAACCCACATGGCGCAGCAGACCTCTCCTGCCTCGCCTGCTGCTCCCCTCAGCAGTGTCTTTGGTCCGTCTGCCTGTTCTGCTCCCTGCTCTGTCTCTGGTGAAGCCTCTCACCCTCCCGCACATCTGGCCTGTACCCCAGTTCTTGTATAAATAAACAAATAAATAAATAAATCTTTTGAAATAAATAAATAAATAAAAGAAGTACAGATTCACTTCTTTAACCATAAAGTCCTGAAGAGAATATTAAGATAAATAAGACATAGTTCTTGTGAACAAGAGACTTATAAAGCAGGAGCTGTCTCATGCTGGCTCTAAAAACCACAGTACATGTAGGCTGTGTTTGCTTGTGTTTCAGTAGGCTGATGTGTTTTGTACTGAAGCATTAATCACTCAAGAAAATATCATGTCATATAAACACCACACTTTGTTTGCTTCTGCTTTCAACCTATATAAAGTCCCTGAGGCCAGAGAGTTCTATGTCTCATGCTTCTTTGAATACTCCTTGAAAGCCTTACTATTCCTTGTATAAAGGGGCACTCAATAAAATGTCTTGAAACCTTTGGATGAGCTGAGTTAAAAAAATGACAAAGCAAAAAAAGTTTATCGAATTGGCTAATTTATACAAAAGTAAAAACATAAATATTTTGCTTACTCGCATATAAAAAACCAAAACAAGCATATATAGAAATTAATAAAAGTAAAGGGTAGAGGAAATAGGGTAGATGAGACAAGAATGGGAGTGTAACTTTTTGCCATATACCCTTTTAAATTATTTAGACTTTACTAGAATAGAATCTAGTTTATAAGAAAAGATACAACTTCCAGACCTGTACATGAATACCTTTCCCTTGCTTCAGCAACTTTGGTCAATTCTCTGCATGGGGACACATGGAAAAAAGGGTCTTCTAAAAGCAGAGAATGGGTAACATAACCCCTTGCCCATACGTGTGTGGTTCAAAGTGAGGCACTGGAGTCACCTGGCTGGGCTCAAATCCCGGTTTGGTCATTGACTAACTGTGTGAGCTGGGGCAAGTAATTTCATCGTATCTTCCCCACCCCCCAGTATCTTTATATATGTATAAATTATATATATAAAGGCAAACTAATAAGACCTAATAGGGCTACTGGGATGCTAAAAGAGATTTAAAAAGTAATAATAAAGAGCTAGCACAGAGCTTAGCGCATAGCCAGCATCTGTTACATGATTAAGATTTTTTGTTACTAACGAATAAACAAAAAAATGTGAGCAAGAAGAGATAAAGATACTAACATCAGAGCTAGAAACATTATAGGTATAGAATAGCTGTGGCCCAGATGTATACTGTTCTCTGAGGTTATATCTAGTTACACACAGTCTGGAGAGAAATGCACCAAAGCAAACAAAGGTTCACTGGCAAAAACAACCTAACAGAATAATGGAAGGAAAAAAAGGAAATACAAGAAAAGCAAATACAAAAAGTGAATAAATATATGAAATGGTGCTCAACTGTACTTAAAATGAAAGAAACTAAATTAAGATGAGATACCATTTTCTTTTATCAGATTAGCAAAGACTTGAAGGTTGATTATAACCCCTAGGCAAGGGTGCAGGAAGATGAGTATTCTATGGGCTCTTAAAAGGACTGTAAATTGAGAATTCTTTTTTCCTTAGGGGGAGGGAGGAAGGTAGGAGACAACTACTCAAAATTTAAAACATGGTTATTCTCTAAACTCACAATTTCCACCTCTAGGAATTTAACCTAGAGATCATCACACAACAGTACAGAGATAAATGTATGAGACTACTCAATATAGCATTTTTCATAAAAGTAGGAAAAACTGAAAACCTAAATGTCCATCAACAGGGGATTATTCAATAACTTATGGTATACCCAAATGTGGAAACAACATACTCATTCACTCAGCAAATATTTACTGAGCATGTACTATGGGGTCCAGCATTGTTCTAAAGGCTGGGGTCAAAAAATTCCGCTCCTCTCCAACCCTCCCCGGAGTGTATATTACAATGGAGGAACAGAAAAATCAACAAAACAAAAAACATGTAGGCCCTTGAGGTGCTAGGAAAAGGTAATTAAAAGGGAAGAGAGAGGTTGAAATTTTAGATAGGGTGGCTTTAGGAAGGCATCCCTGAGAAGGTAGTATCTGAGAAAGGACTGGAAGAAAGTGAGCCATAAAGAGATTTGGAAGACTGTTCCAGGCAGAAGAAATAGCCCTGAGGCAGAATGAGATGGATCGGTATGTCCTGATATAGAAAGATAAGACTGTTAAGAAAGCAAGTTGTAAAATGGAATTTATTATATGATCTCATTCATGCTTTAAGGAAAAAAGATAAATAGGGAATAAATATTTCTTTGTACAATGAAAAAGCAGTGATTATCTCTGGGATGCAACATCTCAGTTTAATGTCTTCCATATAGGTCAGAAAAAATGGTTTTAATCAAGAAGAAATATTAATTTTGTGTACTAGAAATAACTAATTCCAAAATTCAAGCAGAAATTCTACAACATGGATG